TGTTATTATTCCATCTCCAAGTGATATGAATTTGATATTTGATTGTGAAATTTTAAATATTGTTGTTGTTTTCTCTTGTTCTTTCTTTTCTTTGCGTTTTATAATGTAATTAATCATTATTATTATAATTATAATTATTATAATGATGATAATAAGTATAATGATGATAATTATCATTATCATCCACCATATTATTTCTTTATTACATTTTGTTCCTTCTTCATTGATTCCATACCAAAATGAACATTTTGAACATTTATTATTTTTTGTTTCTTTACATTTATTAATATTTGAATAATGAATACATTCTTTATTTATTATTATATATTCTTCTTCACATTTATTACATTCTTTCTCATTTAAACATGTCATACATTTATTTCCACATTTTGAACATTCTTTATTTATTAAATAATATCCTGTTAAACATTCTCTACATCCATATTCTTTATCTATTTCTCCTTTACATCCTTTAATTGTTGTTGTTGATTTACATATTCCTGTTGAACTCATAAAATATCCTTCTCCACATTTTATACATTTATCTTTTTGATTACATGTTAAACATTCTTTTTCACATTTTGAACATCCTTTCCCATTTCTATAATATCCATTCTTACATATTCCACATCCACTTCCATCTGCTAATATTTGTAAACATGTTCCATTTAATTCTTCATTTGATTGACATGTTTTATCATTTCTTAAATATTTATCATTAGAACAACTCATACAATATGTAGATGTTCCATAACATGTTTCACATTTATCATCACATTTTAAACATTTCATGTCTTTTGTTAAATAATATCCTTCTTTACATCTTTTACATCCATATGTATTTTCTTCTTCACAATATTCTATTTTTGTATTAATACATTCTCCCTTCAAATTAGGTGAATATGTATTTAAACATTCAACACATTTTCCATTAACATATGATTTATTTGAACAATATTGAATATTATTATTATTATTACATTTTCCATTTTGATCTTTTATCATATCTTCTTCCATGTTTTATTTATACATTTATTATTATCTAAATATTCTTCATATTTACATTTTATTTCAATATCATTTGTTTGACATATTTCTGATTTTGAACATTCTATACATTTATTATTATTGATGTATTTTCCATTTTCACAATATATTTCTTCATTCTTTCCATTTTGATTCTTTCCTTTATTTGAACATTTTTCATTGTTTAATGTATATTTATTTGAACATGATACACATGTATTTCCTTCATAATAACATTGATCATCATTATCTCCATTACATTGATTATTTTCTATTTTATATCCATTTGAACATTTTAAACAATAATTTCTTTCTGATTTATTACATTTATTATCTTTTTCTTTACATTCTCCATTTTCTTTAATATATCCTTCTTTACATTGATAACAATATGTTTCATTTCCAATTTTACATCCATTTTTGAATTCTTCACATGTTTTTGTATTTAAATTTAAATAATATCCATATTCACATTCAATACAATGACTTTGATTATTTGTTTTAATACAATGTGAACCAATTTGACATTCTTTATTTGAATTTAAATAATATCCATATTCACATTGAATACATTCTTTTGTTTCTTCTTTATAAATCATCATATTACAATTCTTATATCAAATACTATCTAATGTTATTCCATTCATTCCAATAATCATTATTTGACTTTTCTTTGTTGATGTTGTTTCTGAAAATTTTACATTAGTTAAACTAGTTAATTGTTTTGAAGAAGAAATAATTAGTGTTGAAATTGATTTATCATTATTCTCTATTTCTTTAATCGATGTTGTTCCTTCATTTGATGATTCAATTCTTAAACTGAATTCAATTCTTTGATATGGTTCTTTCTTTCTATAAATATTAAATATTGTTTGATTTGATGATTCGTATTTTAACCATTGATTAGGATATGTATATACTGTATGAGTATTTGATGAATCATCGTTATTTCTAATAATATAATTATTTGTTGATAATGATAGTTGATAATATAATAATCAGATAAAGATACCGTAGTAGTAACAATAAATGAATTAAAATCATCTTCATCATTTTTTTTAAATTGATGATTACATTCTGTTGTTATATCATGAATTTCGATACTTTTATAACTAAAATATCGAACCATTCAACCACATGTTTGACTGAAATAATTACCATTTAATGATTTTGATGTTATTTTATTGATTATTCCTTCATATGATGATATTAAATACCATATACCATTATTAGAACTAAATTTTAAATTAATAGGATTTGAATTAATATAAGTACGTTGAATAGGTAAATGATAATTATAATCATAATAATCATCTCCACTAACTAAAAACTCATCAACATCTCCAATTATTCTTGTTGGACTATTTCCATTAAAGAAAGTAAAATGAACATTTTCAAATGAATAAGAGTTTTTGATTAATTCAAGTTCAATGTTTGTTTCAATATTTCTAAAGAATAGAAGATAAGTGGTGCTAATTTCATCTTCTAATCTTGCAATAACTTTATTTGCTTTAAATGTATTATTTGTTGAACCAAAAGAAAATACTCTATAATTATTAACTGAAAAAATAACTGATGAATATTTAGTATAATCTCCTGTTAATTTATTTGAAGTTAAAGTAGAATCAGTACAACTAGCATTTACATAGATTATAAAATCGTTCCCTTCAACTTTTTGACAATATTCACCATTACAAAATAAAATAAATAGAAGTAATAAACAAAACCACATTGTATTTGTTTATTTGAGTTATTTTACACTTTTCTTTGTTTTTTGTTAGTCTTTTATTTTTAGAATATAATAAATTTATATAATTTATTTTAATTTATTTGTATGAATTAATGATGAAAAGGATTATTATTTCTTTTCTTATTATCATTCAATGAAATCAAATATTTCTTAAATTTCAATTAGAAAAATTTGTTTGTTAAAATATTAACATTAAATGATTGTTTAAGAAAATAAAGTGAATATGGTTTGTTCATATTTAATTTAATTGAAACATATTTAAATGAGAATAATTATCGATAATTAATTTGATGATAGAAAACATATTCTTTCATTCTCATTAACTATCATTTTATTATGACTTTATAATGATTAACATACTTATTCTATTTCATCATATCATCTTCTCATAACTTCATATTTTTATGAAAAGGGGGTAAAGAGATGTTTAAAATAATTTAAATAAATTAAAAATAAATAATTTTAAAATGGGTTATTAATAACACAATAAATAAATAACAACAAACCAATAAACACAAAAATAAATAAAACAATAAAATTAAAAACGACAAAAAACAAATAAAATTATTGTTATTTGATTCTTCAAAACATTCGTATTTCAAATAATAATCATAATAATTGTTAACACACCATCATTCAATTAAATCAATAGTAAGAATATGTAATTAAAATGAATAATCAAAATGATATAATGACAATATCTTTTATTATTCAAATTGAACATTTCTATTTCATAAATATTTTATATTATTTGTATTAAATACAATACAATAAATAAATATAATCATATTTAATATTATTAATAATGAAATTTGTTTATTTATATGAATTTAATATGTTCTATGTTTATTATAATAATTTCAAGAGTTAAATAATTGATATTTTTAATAATAAGTGATTGTATTATTTTAATGAAATATAATTGTAATTTTAGTAGTTATGTTTTTATTAATTCTCTGTATTAATCAGTTTGTTGTTAATACTACATATTTGTTTTAGATTAATTCTTTCAATTTATTATATCTTTTCTTCATATTAGTTATCTTTTATTAATCTTGTTTTTATTGTATTATTTATTTGTGTATGATAATATTGTTTGTTTCTATTAGAATTATTGTTAAAATACTTATGATAATGAAAATGAATGAAATAATTCATTTTATGGTTGTAAATATGTTGGTAGTTAGAGTTATGATAGTGTTAATGAAATTATGTTCATATGAATAATACTTATTCTCATTCTTCTATTCTTTGGATTTGTTGTTTGATATGCTTTCTCCTTATTTTATTGTATGTTTGTGATTTCTCTTTGAATAATTCTCTTAATCATAAAGAATACATTTAATCCAAAATAAAAAGAAAATACATAAAAAAGGAAAAACATACTGATAAAAATGAAGAAGAGAAAGAAAAGAATAAACAAGAAATAAGAGTTGTAATTTATAGAGTAGTAGAAAGAAAAAAGAATGATGAAAGTAGATAGAAAGGATATTTCATATTATTTATATTATTTTATTTGTCATTCTTTTTATTTCATTTTAGATTATTTACTATTAATATTCTTCTTATTTTATTGTTTTATAACCATTTGAGAATGTGTATTTTATTTTGTTGTATTCTTTTAAATCAGTTATTTAGTTTATTTGTTTTTCTTATCATTTTTATTTTTATTATTTCTTTACGTTGTAACTTATTAAAAATACTTCATTTATTTATTTCATTTATGAATATTTGATATCCTTTATTCATCTTTTCTATAATCTCATCTCTTCTTTCTATATTTTCACTTAATGTTATTGCTTTATTATACCATTCTTTTGCTCTTCTATTATCTTGTTTATATCTACTTTTACTTCCTTTATTCCAACTAATTCTCATTAACCACTCAATTTCTTTTTTCGGGTATATTCCATCTGTGCTTTTAATCATTGTTATTGCTTTATCTATCATATCAAGTATTTCTTCATCCTCACTTTCATTTATTATTTCTCGAATAATTCGTGATAATCTAACTCCATCAACTTCATTTCTTTTACATATCATTGACATACCACTCTTTAAACATTTGATTCCATATGTTTTATATCCATTTTCAATACAACTCATCCCAACCATTTCAAGTATCAACTATTTGTTCCTGTTCTAAGTAATTTTGTAATTGCTTCATCTATTCCTTCTTCTTTGATAATACATATTTTTACTTCAATTGTGATTAACAATTCTTCTTTCTGAAAAAGTAAATTATTTTTATTTTATTATTTCATCATTAAATATTGAATATTAATGTGTTTAATAACTTACTCATTGTTTAATTTCATTTGTTTTCAAATATCCAAATATTATATTTGTAAATTTAATAATAATGATGTTATTGAATGATATAATATTTATTTTATATTTAATATTATATCATTCATATAATTTATTTTAACATATTCATGATTTAGATTTAATGAATATTTTATATAAAATATATAAAATGAATGTACATAAATATTTATATATTATTATAAATAATGAATGAATATATAAATTATAATTGAATAATTTATATTTATTTTTATTATTTATTTATTTTAAAATAAAATGAATGAGATAGAATATGAAATATTATTTATTATCATTATGAATATATGTTATTTTATTATTATTGATTTAGAGATATTTTATATAGATTAATATATTAATTCAATATTAATCATTTATATTTGTTATTATTATTTATTTCTTTATTTATTATTTTGTTTTCATTCTCATGTTATTTATTATTTATTATTTTTATATTATTATTCTTTATTCATTATCTTATTTTCATTATATGATTATATTATTTATTATTCTGATATATTATTTTATATATTTTCTTTCTTTATTATTATATTTATCATTTTGATTATTGAATATATCAATATGTACATATTATACAATATAAATACAAATAAATGAAATATTTCAACATTTAATGAATGAATCAGATGATATTAATAATTAAGAAGTATTTAATTGTATCATAAACAATCAATATAATGAAATCATCAATAAAATAATAATAAAATAAAATGAAATATGAAAATTAACAACAATAATCATTAATCAACAATTTGATTAATGAAATAATCAAAATATAAAATCAAATTCAACATTATATTCTCTCATTTCTAAATAATTTTAATATAAATTAAAACAAAATGAAGAATAAAGAATGAATAAATATAAAATAGAATTAAAATAAATAAATAAGAAGATAAATAAGATAAAATATATAATAAATAATAAACAAAATAAAATAAAGATATAAAATAAATAGAATAAAAAAGATAAGAATAAGAATAAGAATATTAAAATAAGAATAAAAAGAAATAAAGAAAAAAAAAGAATTATAAAACAAATATAAAGAATGATATATCAATCAATAAGAAAGAAAAGAATAATATCAAAAAGAATAAATAAGAAAAGAATAATAATATAAATGATAATGAATTATAATTTATTTCTACTTCAATTTATATTGTATTTCATTTATTGTATTTTTATTTCATTCATCATCATTTAAAACAATCTATTGGTATTCTTTCATTTTTCTTTAATTCTTTTTCACATCCACAATCATAAAAACATCCATCTCCAAATGATGTAATTGAAGATGGTATATTAATTGATGTTAATGATGAACATCCATAAAAACATTCATCTCCTAATTTAATAATTGATGATGGAATAGTAACTGATGTTAACGAATAACATCTACAAAAACAATCATATCCTATTTTAGTAATTGAAGATGGAATAATAAATTCATTAATATCTTTCTTGAAAATATTCTTTCCATTGATTATTTGTAGATTTTCTGGTATTTTAATACTAATTAACACTGGTTCATTCATAAATATTCTATCTTCACTAATAAATTGTAGATTATCTATATTCATAGATGTTAATGATGTACATCTATAAAAACAATCATCTCCTATTGATATAACTGATGATGGTATATTAATTGATGTTAGTGATGTACATATATTAAAACAACAATCTCCCAATTTAGTAATTGATGATGGTATATTAATTGTTGTTAATGATTTACAATAACTAAAACACTGATATCCAAGTGATTTAACTTCTGATGGTATTGTATTTCCATATGATTTTCTATCATATAGTGTATATACTATATTTTTACAGATATTTCCTTGTTCTTTCTCTTGTAAATATTCTGAATATTCTACTGGATACCATATTACTTTTTTAAATATTTTTCCATCATTAAATATTTCATCATTTTCATTATAAATATGAAATGTTTCAATGTTAGTAAACAATTTTCTTGAATATTCATTTAATGGAATTGGATTAAAATGAAATCGTTCCATATTTCCTTGAAATCTTTTAACACCTATTTCTAAATTAATAAAATCATTAATATCATTAAAATACATTGATGTTATCATTATTTCATTGTATCCTAATTTCATTCTTGATTGTTTATTTATTAGTTGTTTTATTAGTTCTTTTATTTTTATATTTTAATTTCTTCTTTTTTATTCTTTATCATCATTCTATTTTTATTAATTGATATTTATTATGAAAAACAATAAATAATAAGAAATAAAATAAAATGATATTTATTTTTATTTTTAATAAATTCATAATTATTAAATATTTCATTTTATTTTATATTTTATTCATTATACTTTTTAACAATTCAGAATATACAACAAATTTTGTTGCCATGGCTATTGAGTAATACCATAGGGTCTTGTAAAGAAAATCAAACAAGACACAGGTATTTAAGTTCAAAGAAAAGAATGAATGAAATAACAATAAAATACATAATAATAATGATAAAAGAAATAACAGGAGAAAAGTGAATAGAAAAAGAAGAATACAAAGAAAAACAAATAGAAAACAAGGCAAATATAATGATAATAAACATTATACAAATAATAAATATAAATTATTAACAACAAAAGAAATTCAAAAGAAAATTAAAAGAATAACAAGAAAATGGGAGAAAGAAGAATATTCAGAAATACTTAAAAAGTATGAAGGTAAAGAAATTGGTATAATATTGTCTAAGAAGTATATTCAATAAGAAAGAAGAAAACACTAGAGAAAATCAAAGAAGAATTCAAAGATAAAACAAAAGATTGGACAAATGATGATATTAAAATAAATGAAAAATGAATCAAAAACAAAAAACAAAACAAAGAAATGAATGATAGATGTAAATCTGCAATAATAATAAACGAAGAAGAAAATAAATAAAAAAACACAAGATAAAGAAGAGAAAATGGAAGAAGAATATAACAAAGAAGAAATCAACACACTTCAAAATAAAATCAAAGAAATAGAAGAAACTATTAAAGAATTTCAAACAAAAAAGAAGAACGAACTATTTCAAATGAAATGATTCAAAAAACATGAGACACAATTAGAAAAGAGTTTGAAGAAGAAATAAAAAAGATTCAAACACAAATAAACAATATTCAAACTACATATAATGAAATAAGAAAACTATAAATTAAAATAATAAAATATTTCATTACAATCAAAAATAAATGAAATACAAAATATAAATAACACATAAAGATGAAATCATTATTTTCTTTGTTAATTATGAGATGAAGAAGAATGATGATGATGTGTTGAAGAAGAACATAAGAAATAAAGAAAATCAAATCTCTGTATATCAAAAAAGTACGATTGAAAAGTATGAGATTGCAGAAATAACAAGAAAAGAACTAGACCATACACAAAGAGAAAACGAAGAACAAAAACAATTAATATCAAAACAACAAGAAAATATCGAAAATTTTTTATCCCAGAAGGAACTGGAGAAGAAGAAAACAATGACTCTAGTGATAAATACACAACAAATACTGAGAACATCATCATGGACGATATAAATAAACAAAACTACCCCTATGAAAAAGACAATTCTGGAAATAGAAGAAGAAGAGAGCAAAACATTGAGTATCAAAAAACAAGAAATGATAATCAATCAAGAAGAGAAGAAAACACAACAAATCAAACAAATAGAATTTTAATTGATGTGTTGTATTGTTTTGCAATTAATTTGTTAAATAAGAAATTAAATAAGAAATTAAGATGGGAACAAATAGAAAATATAATAAAAATAATAAATAATAATGTAAATAATGAGAAAGAATACATTAATAATATTAAAAAGTAACATAGAATAAAAGAAATAACTAAGATATATATTAAAATGAAAATGAACTCTATCATAGAAAGTAGAGTGTAACCCAATAATAAAAAACATTATCATAAAAAATAACTCTACTGATATTGATGATGAATACCTTAACTCTATCATCACTCAAGTTAAAGGAATGAAGATAGATAAATGTGTAAATATTAATTACTACTGGAGAAGGAAAGAATCAGATAAATTAATAAGAGAAATTAATAATAAATGGGTATGGTCAGGAGAATAGAAAATCTGCAAGAAGATATGAAAATGATTTCAATGTGTATGCATTACTATCTCTAAAATAAATTTAAATGAGATAAATTTGATGAAGTAAAAGAAATCCTAAGGAAAATAAATAGATTAGAAGATCTAATCAAGGGAATGGTACAGAATAAAATATATCATGAGATTAAAGGAACAAGATGCAGATGAAATCAAAATTAAATCACAAGAAAGAATAAAGTACCTAAAATATATGATGATAATGATTAAAGAAAGAATTAAATTTAATAAGAATGAAAATGTCAGAATCAATACAAATAAAATCATGTTTGATTCTAATAACAAAATTAAAATAAAGAAGAAACACAAAATGAAATATACCCAAATAACAATATTACTTTAGAATATTGGAAATCGTTATATGAAACACAGGTGATATTAAATAAGGAACATTGGAAAATAAAACAAATCACCTCGTGGAATGAAAGATATAGAAATTATGATAATGTCATCATCACATTGGATGATTTAAATTTAATTATGATGAAAATAAGTAATTGGAAATCACAATGCATTGACACTATATATTTGTATTATTGGAAGAGAATGTCATCATCAAGAGATTCCATTCTTAATATATTCAATGATTGGTTAAACTTCAATGAAAACATCCCTCTAGACATGGTAAGTGGAAGAACTATACTAATCCACAAAGGAGGTGATAGGAACGATGTCACTAATTATCGTCATATCAGTTGTACAAATGTAATAATGAAAGTATTTACCTCCATATTGAAAGAGAAGATTCATAATAGAATTAACATGAATAATGAATCACTAAAAATTAGTAAAAATCAATTATGATGTAAACTGCAATCTCTTGATGATAAAGAAGGATTAATTAACAGTTATATGTTAAATCAGCAAAAAGAAGAAAAATACACAAAATATGTAGAGTCATATTATGATATTAAGAAAACATATGACTCAGTAAATCATGAATGGGTAATAGAATCACTTAAATATTTTAATGTAGAGGGAGTCATCATAGACATTGTAGAAAGTATGATGAACAGAATGAAGATATTCATATGATATAAATATAATGAATATCTAGGATGTATTAAATTGATGAATTTTACATTGTGATTCATTATCCCCTCTACTCTTCATCATCAAAATGAATATAATTTCTCAAATCATAGAAGAGAAGTTCCCAAAATCAAACCATACATTGTATATGGATAATTTGAGAATAATGACACAAAATAGTGAAGAAATGGGAACAATCCACAATGAAATTAAAGAAATAATATGTGGAATAGGGATGGAAATGAAAATAAATCAGGAATGGTATTAAAGAACATTAATAAAATACCAGATTGAATGCAAAACATCCCAATAATTGAAGGAGAGGACTTGTATAAATATTTAGGTGTATGGTAGTCAGATGAAATTAATGATCCTTCAATTGTAAAATCATCAAATAAAAGATGATGAAGAAAATGGAAGAGATAAATAATGATGAAAGTAGTAATAGAAGATATATTACAAGAATTAATACTGAAGTAATACCCATCTTCAGATATTCAGTATCAGTAATAAATTGGAATGTAACATAGATAGAATGGATTTGGAGATAAGAAAATATTTAAGAAAGGCAAAATACATTTGTTGTAACTCTAAAGACCGTCTATATGTCATATAAATGAAATGGGTGAAGGATTAATAAGCCTAAATGACGAATATGTTAATGAAATAATTAGAACAGTAATGTACTATTGTACAAGAGTGAAATAAGAAATAACATATTAGATAGATGGTATTCCAAGAAAGGAATATGGAATAGAATTAAAAAAGTCCTAAGTCACAAAATACCAAAGACGAAAATAGAAGAAATAATAATTGAAATGAAAATAAAAAAGAAAAAGAAGTAGTATTAAAAATAAAGAAAATAATGACCAACCAATACATCAAAAAATGGAAGTCCCATCAAACAAGTGGATATTTTAGAAGATGGTTTGAGTCAAAATTTGTAGATAAAACTACTACAATAAATGCATGGAAGTCCATCAATATAAAGAAAAATGCATTTCTCCAATTAACTAAATTACAAGATGGAGTAATATTTAGTGGGTACAGGAAAGCAAAAATATTAAAAAATGAAAGATTGAAGTACTGCCCACTTTGTAAAGACAAGATAGCCACAGTAGAACACATTCTACTATCTTGCATTGGTCATAAGAAATCACAAATGGAGAAACATGACCATATTGGCATTATCATATGGGAGGGGTTAATAAGAAAATACACAGGAAATAAACAATACAAGAAATCAACATATAAAACAGTGTTCCAATACAATGACATCACTATGATATTGAACAAACAAATAATGCCAAAAAGTGAAGGACAATATCATAAAAGACCAGACATATATGTACTAGATAAAAAGAATAAAACTGTTCTAATAATTGATATGACTATTGTGGCAGATCATAATATTAATGGAGCCTATTGGAAGAAAAGAAATATGTATAAGGAATTGAAAAATAGGGTAATGAAAATAGAGAAATTAAAAGACGTCAAAATAATTCCAGCAGTAATTCAGATTAATGGGCTGGTAAATGAGGAAAAAATTAAAATAAAAAAAAAGAGGAAAAAAAAAAAAAATGAAAAAAAAAGATGGAAAAAAAGAAAAAAA